CGTAACAACGGAAATTATATTGGTTAACTCACTTTTAATTCGTCTGATTTTTTTCAGTCTGTTAGGGGCCTTGATCTTAATCACATATTCCGTTCATTTCCTTTGATGAATCTTTTTTACTGATATTTCACTCTTTCATGCTCAACATGGGCGGGCCGGCATAGGGGCGAGAGGGGGCAATTGCTCCCCTAAAAAATTTTTTTTGGCTGGGACTTAAGAAGAACGCCATAAAAACAAGCGTTTTTAAGCGAAAAAGTGCTTATTGCCCCCTGAAAATTATGGTCCGGCTCGCCAATGATCGCAATGCCATCATTGTCTATACCGAAGGTATCAAACAACGTTGTCCAGATCCGACAGTCAATGCTATTTTATTCTGTAATCGAGCAACAGCGAATTTTTATTTGGATAAAACAAAAACTTCTTCGTATTCTCTAAAAAGATATATTTGATTAGGTAATTATCGTTCTGCTCTATGCGATTGTGTATTTTCTCGAAAATGTAAACTTGATCATCTGAAAGCGTTTATCAAAAGTGCTGAATCATGTATGAAATTAGAAAAATATCAAGATGTTCAAACGTCGTGTTCAGCTAGTTTAACAGTATCCTTTTCTTTTCTTTGATTTTGATCATTTTAGTTTCTTTTTTTTTCTTATTTAAAAATTGATCATTTTCCTTAACACTGCTTTTTGTTTTTTCTTAAATGTTTTCTAACAATAATCTTAAACTTATCGAAATACGTGATCAAGCGGCAAAATTACAACTAATAAAGAACAAATAAACTAAAATTTTTTTCTTAAGAATATTTTTTCTAGAAAGAAAAAGAACGTGATGAACGAAAACGACAAGGTCAAGAACGAAAACAAAAAGTGAACATGAAAAAGTTCTTAATATTATTAAAGTATAAGAAATCGATTGATTATCATCATAATAGATTAGATATATGTCTTTCTTAGAAACGAAATATTCAATTACAAGAAGACCCAAGTATTGATATATTTAATATCAGAGCAAATCCAGCTGGAAGTGGTGTGCAATTAAATGAATCAGATCAAACATTAACATTTTCCATTGTTTTTCTCTATCCTGAATATGGACAAACCGATTATATTAAAGAATTTCATGAGAATACAAAGCAAAAATTCATTAAAATCAGTAATTAATGTCTTTGTGTTCTTTGCAGACTTAGTGATCAATTAACTCCTATATTCGAATCCCATGCACCTTGGGATGAAGAAGAAAAATACACATTAGATCGAATCGGAGTACGTCTTACTGATAAATTTTACAATTGAGCTAAAATTTTCTTTTTAGATTTATTATGAAGATCATGATAAACATGAGCTAATACTCGTTTCGTCTGACAAAACATTGCTTGAAATCCTTCAATTACCAGGGTATGCACTGACCTCTCATTCTGCTTTTATTCCTTTCTTTATCTATCATAGATTTGTTGTTCAACTCGGTATGCCAAGTTTAATAATCATGGTTCCTAATTCTCTATTTACTAAGCATTATTTTAAAATGTATGAAACTTTGTGATGGTTATTTGTTTTGTTCTTCAATAAAAAAAATAAAAATAAAAACACGAACATCTTTCAACATACTTTCAATATGCATTTGTAGAATATCATGAATATTTAGACATTTTTCTAAAATGAAAATTTTTATAAAAAACTTGCTTTAACTATTGCTATTATTCGTTTAACACCATGACATCTAACACCAAAAGAATATACAATACAATTACAAAATATTTTACGACGAAATCAAATAAACCAATCTATTCAGTTTGAACAAATTTTCTTCGATATTCATTCTCTTCGAAAATCTCGATCGATGAAAATACCACGAAAATCTTTTCATATACTTGAACAATATGGAAATTTTCTTCAAAAGATTTTTACTCTCTCAACAGAATTTAATATTGAAATTCAAACAATTATTATTGAAACAATTGATCGAATATTTGATTTAATCAAAGAAAATTTTTTTCAAATAAAACAAAACAAATATCAAGTTCTTTTTAAACAATTAATTCATACTATTTTAAATTATGATATTATACCAAATATTCAAAAACATTCTATTCAATATCTACGACAATTTCTTCATTTATTATTTATACACATTAAACAACCAACAATGACGACGAATGTTCAGCTACTTATTGAACAAATCGGTATTTATCTTAACCTTTAATAATCCACTTTTTGTGATATTTTCAATTTTAGGTTGTCATCAATCTTATTTTTTATTAGTTTTTGAACGTATATTGATCGAATTACTTGTTTATTTTGATAAATCCGATTCCAATTCAGCATATATTTTAATTTTGATGAATATTCTTGAAAAATTAATATCATCAAATGATAGTACTACATTAGAACAAATATTAAATAATGAATCAGTTCGTCAACAATTTCATGCTTTACTTTATACATGTTTATCTTCAAATAAGAATGAGATTTCATTAATTATTTCTCTTTGGAATATTTATGGTCGAATTTTATAAAACAAAAAAAAAGAAAGTCAGATATCTATTGTCCATAGGTATGTGTATTTAGATAATTTGTTATTATTTGTCTTTCAGTACTTGAATAGAATGTTTTTCTTTATTTTTGTACTACTTCACATATCAAGTAGATAATGACTTAAATGAAATCTTGAATAGTTTTTAAAGGCCATCTTTACTTTTGATGTCATTGTATATATATATATATAGAATAGTAATGAAGTGTGTCTTTGTTAAGAGCTATTTATCAGAAGATGAAAAGAGAAATGTATTACTGCCCATCAAAAGAAAACATAGAAGAAAAAGAGCAATAAGAGATGAATGTGATTGTTTTGATAATGTAAAGAGTAAAAGAATGATGCTTATTTAGCATTGTGAAGGATGTACATAGTATAGAATGTCTACATTCTATCATTTATTGTCTATTGATTAATCAAATCTTTGTCTAGCCTTGATTTCAATGAACTTCCTTTATGTTTCCTGTAGTGAATAATTAAGAGACTGCTCGAAGTTATCATGATCGATGTACAAGCCGACATTCATTAATCGACTAATAATATCTTCTATTGGTAGTATAAACAAATATCCATATCGAGAGATTTTCTGTTTCTGATTGAGAAAAAACAGCTAAAAAGAAAAAGCTGTTAGCACAATCCCTTAAGGGATTAAAAATGTGAAACACGATGGATCTACTGTTACTAGTTAAATGGAAATCGTTTTGTTCCATTTATTTGCGATACATTTGTAGGTAACCATTTATCTGATGCTTTCGAACTACAGTTGCTCTGTCACGGTCTGTGATGGGTCCAAAACCTGTCTGTCAACAATTTCATTATTTATTTTTGTTTTTCTTTAGACATTCACTAATAAAAGTGCTTTAGCAAAACGTAAACTAACTCACAGTCAAGATCGTAAACATATATGTTTAAAATGTAATAAAGGTTTCAAATGACTTGACCATCTGTAAGTAAAAAAATATAAAATAAATAATAAAAACAAAAAAAATTCTTTTTTTTTGCTTATAGTAATGGTCATATGTTAACACATGAAGAAGAAAAACCACATAAATGTCGTGTACCTAATTGTAATCGTACATATTGTGATGCACGTTCATTAAAACGACATATTAAAAATACCCATCAAGATATTTTAGCTGCAATATATCAAGGTGGACATGATGAATATAAAAAATTTTTACCTGAAACAGCATTTGTTAAAACAAAAGATTTATCAATACATAGTGAATTTTCAATTGATTCTATTGATAGTAATTCTTCACGATCATCAATTGATAATGAACAATCATTTAATATTCGAACATCAACTGGAACTAAAACTATGACAACTTATACGTAAGTTTAAATTCAAAAACAAAAAAAAAGTTTTATTTTTCTAGATATTTTTTTAAAAATAGATTTGATGAAGAAAAATGTGTTGAATGTCAAATTTGTAAAAAATCATTTAAAAATGGTGTTGCACTTAATGATCATATGCGTTTACATGGTGAATTTATTGAAGTACGTTAAGAAATATTTTTCTAGAGCTATGGATAAGGAACAGGATATTGTGTACTTTCTAAATTCGATCTTAGATATTGTATCCCAGTTTTTATTCGAGATTAGTGAAGCAATTTTTTGAAAGTCCAAAAATTAGATTGAATGATGAACCAATCGGCTTTTATTAACCTCTATAAGTTCCATTTCCAAGGTGCTAAAAAATATTGGAGTTGATTGTTGTGTAGAGCTTCTCGAGGGTGTGGGTGTCGAGTGTGGTTGACGAGAAGACCAACACTCACCTCCACCCCCACACCCCTATTAGTTTTGAATATTCATATCACATAGAGGTGTTATCAAAAATACATTTCGATTAAATAATTGCTCATTTAGTCCTAACAATTGAGAAAGAAGATTATGGCTTAAATATTGCTTGACAGTTTTCACCAGAAAACGACATAAAATAGTATCATTTACGTTTAACACGAAATAAAACTTCTACTTCATAATAAAGCACTATAGTCCAAAAATGTTAGCGAGTCACCATGTTGGGTGTTATCTGTTTGCATCAATTGAAGACATTGTTGTGAACTGTCAATCTAAACCTTATGACTCAATTATCAGTAATGTTGATTCATACGATTACAAACATTAATTTTTCACTAAGCTAAATATTACTAAACGGTTGAAATGTAGCTGTCGTATTTCAATCGTTGCAGAATTTTTGCCAAGAATAATTCAGAATTTTTGAGGATCGATAAATTTTTCGTCATCAATGATACTTGGTGAAAAGACTTGATGTCGTATGATGAACATTCGGAACAAACCTAAAATGAGTACTTGTAATAAAATTCACATATTTCAATTATACTTCTTATGCTATTTGAAATAAGTTCCTACTCAATAGTTTCATTTTATTCATCTTATCGAACCCTAGAAAATATCTACACACTCTTTTCTTAAGTAGACCTTATTCAGTAAAAAAATTGTGTTCGAGCACAGTAAGTACTGGCACTTGTTGATATTTGTAATTTTAAGCACTATTGGCAATTTTTCTGTTATTTATCAATAGATTGAAAGGATTGATATATATGTTCCATATAGTGGAAGACAACAAGAGAAATGATTCTATTGGTTTTACGTTTCAAAAAAGAAGAATGCGAGCGTGCGCAAACAGGAGACCCGCACCCATTAGGTAGAGCCTTCAGAGTTTATTAAGTGCCTGTTTCAAAATTCTGAATTCCACAACGTATCTATCTATCCTATATCTGTAGTTAAACATTACAAATGGACTTTGTCACTAAACTATTATCGAAATATTCTTGTATAGTTAATAACATTGTGTCATTATCAGAGTTGTTTATCATTTCAATAGGATTGACTAACTTTGTGTACTTTGAATGATATTATTTAAAAAAGAAAAAAGTGCAGGTGGATCTTTCGAGAAAAACAGAAAGCAAAATGGTAGAAAAAAAGAACATGGATTGACGACGTTGATAAAGTCAGATAATAAATAAACATATAAGAAGAGAAAAAAAGAAGCGTTCTAAATTTGGTGTTACTTTTCTTTTCTTTTATTTATTAGATTAAATTTAATTTCATATTCAAACAACATGTTTCCAAATTTTTCTGTTTCTACAAGTTATGGATTAGTAAAATATTTTGATTCTCTATTTTTTCTCATGATTTTAAAGTTTGTTTCTTTTTATATTAGCCTGTACCTTATCAAACACCAATATCACCATCACTTTCACCTGGTACACAAATTCATGTTAGTGGTACACCTACTGGCAGCCGGTAAATTAATTCATTTTAATTTTAAGTTTTTATATGTCTTTAAAATAATGTAGATTCGAAGTCAATCTAAAAAATTATCAGGATGATATTGTCCTTCACTTCAATCCACGTTTTGATGATTATGCACTCGTACTAAACAGCGGTACGATAAAATAAACTATATATGTACTCTAGGGAATTATAATATTATTTTGTTATACTTAGCTCAACGAGGTTCATGGGGTCAAGAAGAACGTCAGTCATTGCCAATACAACGTGGAATTCGATTTACATTGGTTATAATGGCTACAAATAATGGTTTTAATGTATGTTATATTAAGTTTTCATAAAAAAATTTCAAATTTTCTTTTTCTTTCAAATATACAAAAGATTTCTGTCAATAATTCTCATTTATGTGAATTCTATCAACGAATACCAATGCATTTAGCTCAATTAGTCGAAGTTAAAGGTGATATTAATTTAGAATCAGTTCAAGTTTATCCAGGAGGAATGGGTAGTTCAATGGGTTTTCCTCCAATGGGACCTAATATACCACTTGGTCAACCATCGTTTGGTGGAGGTTTTAACGTCGGTTTCGGCTTTCCATCAGCTCCTCCTGTTATTACAACATCTTTTCCAGTACGTATTTTCTTTTGAGACTTTTTTTTCTTTCACGAATTCTTATTCCAATAATCTAATATAGATGGGTGGTGGTGTACCATCTATACAATCATGTAGAATACATACTGGTTCTCGGATTTTTGTACGAGGTTTTATTCCTCCTGGTGCAAATCGATTTGAACTTAACTTACTACAAGGATATACAGATAGTGATGATATTGCTTTTCATTTTAATCCACGTTTCGATGTACGTACAATTGTTAAAAATCATCGACGAAATGGTCAATGGGGTCAAGAAGAAAATCAGCCATTTCCATCCTATATGCCTTTAATGCCAGGTACACAAATTGATTTACAAATTGCATGTAACCCGGATAGATATACAGTAAGAGATAAACATTTCGTTTAATTATTAAGGAAAACAAAAGTAAACGTTTACTTTAGATATATATGAACAATAATCTTATTGCGGAATTTATTCATAAAATTCCACCTGGTTATGTAAGTGTTATTGCAAAAATGAATAATTTAGTGTTTAACAATAAAAATGTATGTTTAGGTTATGGCTCTTCAATACAAAGGCGATATCACAGTTACCGGTGTTGGTCAATTGTGAAAAGAAATCACACATTTTATTATTAATTGGTTTTTTTTTTGAAAAATGCTTAATTGAATTTAAATAATTTATTTTGGATTTTTTTTATTTAATGAAATAAATAAAATGCTTAAGCAATATCTTAAAGACACTATTTATATAAAAAAACATTCAACTTTTAGTTTTGGATGATTGAAAATATTATTGATAGTTAATTGCTATTTGGTGCTATTTTTTTTTACAATAAACTCAATAATTTTTCATACGTGTAAATCATAAGTTTTTCATTAAAGTATAGCATTCTGAGTCGATAGTCATCCTCTTGCTTATACTCGTTGTTATTGAATAAACTAAAAATTTCAAAGAGTTCATAATGAAAAATAATACAATGAATATACATGTTCATGTTTCAGAGCTTATTAAAAATTCTGTCTTTGAATGCTGTTAGTATATATTGTGACAAAATATCCTATTCACAAGAGTATAAAAGCTTTGTTACACTCGGTAATCTCTTTTACTTTTCCAGATCTAAGATATGACAATGTAAAAAAAACTGCTGTTATTATGAAAATGTAATGAAACTAAAACTGTTGTGTTGACCATATCATCTTGTCTTTTTTTCTCTCAGGCCACTATTGTTGTCCTTTTGATAACATTGTTGATTAATATAAAGGACTACTGAAGCATCTATCTATGCTTGACTACATAGCTTCTTCTTGTCGTTACCTTGTTTAATCGATAAGATAAGATTTGAGCGTAGTGAATAAGTATGTTGTCATCTTATCTTCTTCTCGCTCTTTCTCAACCATCAAATACTAGATTATATAAATTAAGTCATTTTTGCTTATACGTTACTTCTCCACATACTTACCACAAAGTGAACAACTCGTCAATACTTATTATTTAGTTAAAAATGGGTCAAGTGTGTAGAAAATTTATATTTGAATTTTAATAAAATCCATTTATATATATATACTTTATCTTTTAGCAAACTGGTCATTTTCAAAATTATGTAAGTTCTTATTTAAAAAATTTTATATTTATTATTTCGATATATCTCTTATATATAGCCTGTTCCTTACGAAGGACAAATTTCACCACCAATTTGTTATGGTACTCAAGTACATGTTAATGGTACTGCATTTGGTGATCGGTAAGTATATTCTTTTTTAAATAATATCTTATTTGATTAAAAATTTTAAAAAGATTTGAAGTCAATTTGGCTAATCGTCGTGGTGATATTATTTTACATGTCAATCCACGCTTGAATGACCGTCAATTAGTATTAAACGCAGCACCTGGTGGTGGTTGGGGTGGTGAAGAGCGTAAACCATTGAATATTACACGTGGTCAACCATTTAGTATTATCATTATGGTTACAGAACAATGTTTCAAAGTAAAAAAAGATAAACAAAAATAATATGAAAAACTTTGTATTTCTTTTCTGAATTTTTAAGATAGCTGTCAATAATCAGCATACAGCTGATTTTTACCATCGAATACCATTTACTGCAGCTGAATTGGTTACTGTTAAAGGTGATGTTAATTTAACATTTGTTCAAATTTATCCAGGCATGGCTAGCAGTCATGGTCAACCATGGCGTTTTGCTATGGTTAGAATCTTTAATTTTATTTTATTATGTATTCAATCTAAATATTTTATATTTTTATAGGAAACTCCAGTACCTATGAATGTTTTTCCTGGTAAGATTTTATTTATTTTTTATTAATCAATGTGTAATCATAGATAATATTTAGGTCGTGTTATCACTATTAGTGGCCGTGTAAATAATAATGCATCACGATTTGAATTCAATTTATTAACAGGAAATTATAATGGAGCTGATGTTGCATTTCATTTTAATCCACGTTTTGATCAACGTGAAGCAGTACGTAATTCATGTCAAGGTGGAGGATGGGGAAACGAAGAAAAACAAGGCGGATTTCCATTACAACCAGGTCAACAATTTGATATTCAGATAATTTGTTTTCCAGAACATTATCAAGTATGAATGAAAGATTAATTTTCTGAAATATTAATTTTTATTATATTATTTTCTAGGTTAATTATATGGGTCAACCATGGTTCACATTTCGACATCGTTTACCATATCAACAAGTACAAGCTTTACAAGTCAAAGGTGACGTTGCAATTACAAATGTTTATGCTATGTAAACATACATTTAAATCATATATAATTTATTTTAATAATAAAATAATTAAATTACCTATAGGATTTTAAAAATAAAAGACTTTTAATTAATAATATGAATAATGAACTGTTAAGATTATCGAGATGCAAACAAAGAACATTCTTAGACATTGTGTAAAGGGATTCTGATAAGCAAAAATTAGAACTTCTGTTCATATGTAAAATTTCAGAATAGATTTGAGTGACTAGAAGATTATCAACGTTACCTCCAAATCCATATCCTTCGACAGTACACCAATCAAGCTTTGATTATATTGAATTGCTCTTTTTCAACTGTTTTATAACTATGTTTTTCCATGCATTCCACTATTTTTTATGAGTATTGATTACACGTTCCATTCCAGCACCATCAACAACAAGCAAACATATATTTACCGAAATTAATGAGATTTTAGAAGCAAAAAAAAACTAAGTGAATAATGAATCACTTGTTTCTTTGTGGAACCTGAGACGATCTCTTTCTTTTTTTTTCTTCCTGTTTATGGAAGAAACTAAATAATATACTTCTTCACATAAAATAAATGTTTCAAAACCGTGCTGTGACTATCAGCGTATCTGTCGGATGTTAATTAGCTCAGGTTCGGATACGGGGTATAAAAAAGTGCTGATTTCGATCTGATTTCAAAAATTCATACTTGTACAGAACACTAGTTGAAATTTGTACTCATCTCCCGCTTCCCGTCGAAGCTGTTATTGATATACTATTCAAGACCATATATCAATAACGTCTCATTATAATAAATGAGCCGCTTTCTGATTGTAGTTCTGGATAATTCATTAAAAAGATGGTGAAGAAATGTTTTCCAAAACAGATAGAAAGAAAAATTTCTTTGTGATTAGCAAGAGCAGTTACATACTGTTTCACATTTTAATCGTACAATGACTGTGCTAACAGCTGTGTTTTTAACGAATTTTCTTCTAAGATTCTTCAATAAATAGTTTGAGATCTCGATATCTGTGTTTAGGCAATAAAAAAAACTTCGAAATATTATTGAATATATTTGATTTTATTCAAAATGTATCATTTAACTTTTTACTTGTTCGTATTAAAACGTATTTTAAAATTTTAGAAGTTTTCTATTTTATTGAATTACAATGAGACGTTTCTTTTACGAAAATCAAATTCAACATAACCATCATGATAGCTCTAATTGCTATTATTTAAATAACAATTTTTTTATTAGAAAATCTCCATATTAGCTCTTCTCGACTTATATCTGATTTCTCATCAGCTTAACACAGAATAAATTATTCATTACGTACTCCTTTCACCAAAAAAAAAATAAAATTCTATAATTTTAAAATACAATAAATCAGAATTTCTATTCTTTCTACATAACCGAATAAATACATTATCATTTCACTCTATACTGTTATAAATAAAATCATTTTATGAACAAGTAACGCTCGTCTGTGTGACTCGCTTGACCCTCGACTGAATATTTGACTGCTTCGATATTTTTACTGTTACACGCACCTTTCAAAAGCTAGCAACTGGCCTATGTATAAGGTTGTGTCTGAGTGCGAATAGTAATACACAAATCTGTGTCGGCGTGTGAATAGCCATGCGTATCTTTGAGATACTACTTTTCACCCCATTCATTCACTTAAACTGATACTCTACGAGTACTATCCAAAGTAAATCTGTATGACCCACAATAGTACAGCAATATCCACAGGCTCCGAAAAGACAGTATATTCGATTTGTAGAGATAATCAAGAAACAAAACATATCCGAGATAATAGGGTAAAAATGCACTATACTTCTCGAAAACTATCATCATAATCCGTATAGCCACCAGTAAAAAACCGAGAATATCATTTACCAGTGCTCGCTACAAAAATACCTGCGTAGCGGAACTTTCAGATTAAAATAAATCATATTGGTTCAAACCAATACTCGTCATATACCATTTGAGTGAGATTTGCACTCAAAGTCCTCGTCGGATTAAACAGTTAATTCCAAAATACCCAAAGAAATTTAGACAAGTGAATGGGCAGAAGTATGGATAAGTGAAATGAGAAAAACGGATTTTATTGAACTCAAATCTACTTTGAATGAACTTATGTAAATTGTTTAATTAAGGTTTTTCATGGAATGTTCTATCCCGATCGTCAGCAAATCCAGCACAGCTGTTCTCACTCACACCATCAAATATACTTGTTAGCTTTTTTGTCATCTCTCGTTCCCACTAAAACAAGTAAGAACTAAATGGTAGAGATTCACCCAATGAATTTGGAGTATCTGAAGCGTTCCTTTAATGAATATCGTTGGGAAGCAGTTAGTCGCTCTTAAGTGCCCCAAATGGACGCAACTCATACTCGCAGCTATAGTTGCTGCCATGTTCAGTTCTATTTGAGTATATGATCGTGCACTATCATTTAAATTCTACCCCATGCTAGATTTCTCTTAATCTTAAAAGTAGTTAGAGCTATAAGATGAGGATTTCCCATGAGAAATTCCAAAGTGGAAACATTGTTGTGAACTATTCTATATGCATTTAATTCCCTTGCATAGCTAGCCAATCTGAGATCTAATTGAATTTCTCATCAAAATAATCTTAGTAAATTACTCAATCAAAAAGCTGGCTTTATACAGCCCGTATCTGAAACCAACTAAATGTGAATTTAAAATAGGAGACATTGCAGTTGATTGTCAGTGCTTCAAAGTAGCGCCAATCGCTGTTAGCCACTGCTAAGGTTGAACCTACACTCCTAAATGGCTACTCTTTTATACGAGACCTGAATGATTCAAGCTTCAACTATATCAAAAGCGTATTTATTGATCCCTAGCGAGTACTAGATTTTCTGTATCAGGCGAAACATTTTCTTAACATATACTCGTTGTCTCTCTAACTTCTCGATATTTTGTATAAATCCTTCTATACATAAACTGTCATTGATTCAGTCTTAGTGGCGCATTTTCAAGCATTTTGCTAGACGCTATGCAGGCATTCCCTAAATCACGAATCCTATAAACCTGCTTTGGCAGCAGCAGACGTTCGTCTGCGCCCCGTCGGGGCGCCACTTACGACTAGCTGCTGCTCTTCTTAACTTCGCACCACTAAATGACTAATCTTTTACTCTGACATAAGAAAAGTCTTCATTTCAAAATTTCGACTCAAATATTGAAATATTATGCGAACAAGTCTGATTAATATTGCAAAATTTTATGCCTTGTGACTATATATCGATTGGTAAAATGTACTCCACTTTCACTGAATGAATCTTCGGTATACACAAGCAGTTCAAAATAGAACTTTAGCAGTAATGTCTCGCGGAGAGTAGACATACATTTACACATATTTTGACTTTACAATTCATGTAAAGATCATGATTAAATCAACATTATGTAAAAGAGAACTGGATGCTGAATCTCTGTTGTTTTTCCTCACTTGACAGAGACAAGCGCACAGATAAATGCATCCTCTATGATATCACCACCTGTTCACTATCAGCAAAAAAGTTAATTTTTGATTCCACAGCTTTCAAGCCAGTGGGAAGTTCGGATACAACATCTGATCTCAGATTCGGAATCCTGGCCTTCCATAACTTCCATCAAAGTTCCGTCAAAGCGGTCAAAAGCCTTAAAATAAGAAAGTTCGTTTTTGATTGGTCGGTTTTCCACCAATGAAACCTCGGCCAAAAAAATGGGCTTCGGATTCGGATTCAGTGCCCTGTATAACCTATAGCAAAGTTCGATCAAAACGGCCAAAAGCCTTAAAATAAAAATGCTCATTTCTGACTGGCCCGTTCCTGACCAATGAAATCCCGGCCAAAAAAACTGACTTCGGATTCGGATTCAGGGCCATCGATAACCTATAGCAAAGTTTCATCAAAACTTCGAAAGGCCTTAAAATAAGCTAACCTCTCATAAATGTTTTTTTGACCCCAATCAAGCAACATAACAAACGCATTTCATTTCGTATGACCCTCCTTCCAGTCGAGGGAAATACGATAAAAAGTAAAATAAAATAATACAACTGAAACTATGTAAGAGAACATGGAGCGTGATTTCGATCAAAATAAAGATTATCGTGATCTTGTTAAAGTGTCAATAAAGAGAACGTGTATTCAGACATTGCAACAGATTCCATAGATGGCCATTACTAATCAATATTAAAAGGCTATTTGTCAACCACAATCTTTCGTTCAGAAACTTACGAAGAAATATCGAAAGCCATTTCTGTATTATTTATGATGAATTATGTAAACTACTTATACACAGTACAAGGTCTACCATGGGAAGCTAGCTTAGATGGTTAACAAGCAGAAATGAGAATCAGCCTAATGTAGTATATCACCATTCATGAGTAGTTCTACGACAGATGATATGAAGAGTATCGTATACCCACTTTGCATAACTCCTGAAAGTTTATAATTATCCTTATTACAGAGCAGAATCCGCGAAAGAGGGAGGAGAGGACGCAATCCTCCTCTCCCCCCCCCCCCACAAGAATTGAAAATCGTTCAGTATTGCCTGATAAAATGAGTGAAGATATTTTAAAATTTTATTCCACCTCTGTGACTTGTTCTCTTATGTATCCATTTTGCACCCCCGCCCCCCCAAACTGGGATCCTCGCGCGAGGCCTGTTACAGAGTAACAGGTAACTGATAGCTACTACCATCATTTAGTAGTTATTAAGCTATTTATAACCCACTTATATGGTACTCAATAACCTACAGATAACATTATTCTATACCTTTGACTAATCTATGAGCATCCTCCTCATACAGTAGTTGATAACTCAAGGATACCCTCGTTATAGAGTACACTCTAAAAAAAAAGGTTTTTACCGAACCCCTGAAAAAGGTTCCGTCGATTTGAAAAAGCTTGCAAATACATTCAAATGATCAAAAAACGATTTTTCAGTTCTACGAAACCTTTAAAGGTTCTTCCCCTGGGCACACGGGAAGAACCTTTTTCCTGCGAAACCTTTTTTAAGTTCCGTACAGTAAAAAAAGGTTTTGTAAAAAAAATATGAAACCTTTAAGGTTTCGTATAAAATTCAAACGGCTTTTTACTAAACACTAATGGTTTCGCACTGCACCAGTATAAATTAATACGCAACTTTAAAGGTTTCGTATTTTTTTACAANATGTTCAAGCTGCATATCCATAAAGACAAACCTAGAGAAACCCTCTGTTAAGTCTATTGTTTTTTCTTCTATATGTGAAAAAGTAAAATTTTTCTTGTTGAGGTCAATAGTGATACTTAACAAAGGGTCTTCCTAGACATGTCTGTATGGATATAAAGTTTGCACATGCCTCTATCACTGGTAAAAAAATCACCCCGTTTGCTCAAGTCCTAATGGAGATATTCAATTTTTTGTCGGGTGCGTGACCTTTGGGCCACCCTGTAGATTAACCAACACTCTACGCTATTTGGTTTTGTGAACTTTAAAGTATTTAAGACGATTCGATAGGCGACAAAACAAAAGTAAAAAGATTTTTGAGTACATTGAAGTGTGATCTTTCTTGTTATACAGTCCGAAGTTCGTTTAATATCAGTCGAATATCGAAAAATACAATGGAAAATGAAGAAATTCATCATTTTCTTTCGTTTTGATCTGCTGAATTTTATAGAAAAACCATTTAATAGATTTGTACTACTAAATCTAATAATGGAATGAGTCACTTCACACTGAAATTGAAAAGAATCCGAACTGATATCTGTCATTTGAGGTTATATGTAGCCTACAACGAGGTCTTGATAAGATCTTGTTAAAGCCTAAAAGTATTCGTCCTCATGGACCTCTGGAGCCGAGTTATGATTGTTTTACTGAATTTTCGATCCAACTTTAGGTATATACCGAAGAATTAAAAGCAAAATTTTGACTAGAGATAGGCCGAATGACTCGTAGAATATCCTTAAAAGTTTACACTGAATAGAATGCTCCTTTGTCGAGATAACGAATTTTCAAAGAATAATCTCTTGTCACAGGCATGCTACAACACTCGAGTTTTACTTGAACATTCAATATCTCGACAAAACAACATTTTTTTTCTGTTAAAACTTTTAAGAGATTCCATGAATCAGTCAATCCATCTTTGAATGAAACTTCACATCGAAATACTTTTTTTTGATTATTTTTCGGTGGTATATACCTAATAATGGATCGAAAATTCGAAAAAACCCATTTGAATTCATCTCCAAAAGTCCGTGGGGGATGAACTAGGGATGCATCAATTCCAATGCGAACCAATTAAAAATCTTATAATTGATCGAAGTCGGAGTTGATTTTGAAACTGATCTTGAAAAAATTGTGAAACAATTATTAATTTATGTCAATAGGTGTTACAAAAATTCATGATTCTAGTTTTAACCGATTCCGACCAGTTTTAGGTCAAGAATTGGATTTGAAATTGGTGCATTCCTAAGACGTACCCTTCTAGACTTTTGCTAGTCTTATCGAGATCTTATTGTAGGTCCGATATTTGCTCAAACGATGGATATCAGTTTGAATGATTAGCTCGTGAGAAAGTTGGTTCGTTTCTATGCGCTAAATATTTTTTGTTCAATTTGCTCCTGAATTTTCTATAGAAGTAAATCTAATTAAGTTTTCGTAGAGAACTTGATGGCAAATTTTTGGAAAAAGTAATCATATCTTAGAGTTGAAAAGGAAAAAAGAGTTCAAGTCAAAACATTTGAACAATTTCATGATTAATAAAAACCATCCATTATTTACTTACGTTAGTAGCTAATAAATATCGTCCGACAAGTTTAATAACAGAACGAGAAAATTCTTTTGGAAAAATCAATACATTCAAACATGGTACACTATGATTTGAATCTGTTAGATTTTCATTTAATATTAACGCAATACAACCAGAAATTAATGCCTAATTTAAAAAATGAAATAATACAAAAAAAGAAACAAACATACCAAATCTTTTAATAAAAATACATACTTTCAAATTTGGAAAATATGCAATATATGGATGCCGATCAATCGTTAAATAAATTCCATTTAAAATTCCAGCTGTTGCTTCCCAATCAAAACAACGCTAAAATAATAAATAAATAATTAGTTATATATAGTTAAAAAGAATATTCTTTTTATACTTTTGTTATTTGTTTTTTACAAATTTTAATAAACATTCGATCAATACGTCTTAATAAATGATTTAATGCTGGTCGTAATTGTTCATCACTCCAATTTGTATATGGTAATAATTTTTGAAAATAATTTTGTATACCACAACAACATATTGTTATAGGATCAAAACTACCTAATTTAAGTAATGTATGAACTATATCTGCAAGACGTATATGTGATTTAGCATCAAGTAGTTCAGGCATTCGATTTATTGAATCATGAAGTAATTTAATTAATTCATTTAAACGTTGAGTAGAAAAATGAATAAATGTTGATATAATTGATAAGAATGTATCACGAGGTCTACGAAATTCAGATGCTTGCTTAAGTTCATCAGTATCTTGTGTTCTAGATTTTGTACGATCATCAATAAAACGACTAAAATAAAAAATGAAACTTTTTTTTTTTTTTTTTCTAATTTTTATTTACTTAGTTGAATCTTCTTCAATTACAATAGATGGTGAACGATATGAAGCACGTGAATATTTATAAATACCATCTAATGATGTATCACATTTAGGTTCAATAAATGCTCGTGTTAACCATTCTGATGTATTGATTAATGTTTTAATAGTAATAGATAATTTTTCAATTATTTTTATTTCATCACGTCCACGTTTTTGAATATCATTTTTATTTGTAGAATCTTTTATATATTCTAAATATTTTGGTAAAAGTATATCGATTACACTGAGCATTTGTAATGAACGAATTGAATCAGGTGCATAAGCAACTAAAAGAAAGATAAAATGAATGAAATTTCAGTTTTTCAGGATAGGTAGTTTTTCACTCCTCAGGGTTCACATGAAGCATTTAGATCTATCTATCATTTCAAAGCAGAGTAATGATCTATCCTTCATCATGGTTCTCGATAATTTTCAGAAGTAAGATGAAGCTCTTTTCGTGAAACATTGCAGATTGTTTTTAAGTAACTATTCAATATTTTTGCAGAAACAATCTAAAAACTAGTGGATTTTAGTTCATACCTAATCGAAATCAATGCTCCCCGTTTTAGTTCTTTTAGTCATAACTGATGAGAGAATCTTCCCAGCTTGAAAATTGCTTTTGACTTAGGACTCTGTGCATAAGATGGACTCTAGTGAGATCTTAAAAACTGTAAACAAATAAGGATCTCTAGACCGTTCCTATACATGGTTATAGTCATTTTACTAATATTTTGCTCATAGATAGGCCTAATAATAACTAGAATGTTCTCAAAATCTCAACTCAAAAGAATCTTTTCTTTACGAGATATTCAATTCGAAAAAAAACACTAACAGTTCACGAAAGGTTCGAGAGTCTCATGTATTTTGGAAATTGAATATATCGTAGAGGGAACATTCATTTGAGCTGAAATTTTCAGGATATTCTAGTTACAAGTAGGCCTATCCATAGATAAAATTTCAGTAAAACAACTAGGAATTTTTATGAAAGACTTACGGATCCTTACTCTTTTGACGTTTTTAAGACCTCATAAGGGTCTATCTTAAATACAGAGTCCGAAATCAAAGCGATTTTCAAGTAAGAAAAGCTCCCTCGTTAATTATTGATTTTTATTGCTTCATGCTTTTTTTCGATTTATAGCAGATAATTTTCTTTATCTTAGATTCTTATCAACGTACTGATAATTGGACGTCGTTGAACATTATTTTTTAGCTATGAAGATAACTCGATAGAACTAAGTGATGTATCAAAACGGAGACTCAAGTCTTTCGAGTAATGAAAATCTGAATATTGGAGAAACATTTTTATTTCATACAACGAGTTTGAAATTGTTTGCTTCAAATAAATCGATCAATATTAAGATTTAGTTTCATCGAGTTTAACTCATTACCAAAAATATGGAATCATATGACTTCTGACAATGAGAGGAATTTCGTCATCAATTATCCAAATAAGTTTTTTTTTTTTTTTCAATTTAGCTTACCAACAGTAACACAAACATCAAAACAATTAATCAACGTAAATATTGTATCGTCATCTGCATAACAAAAATCTAATGATTTAATAACTATTGGTGCAATCAAAGTTCCTTGTCCAAGTACTGCAATAACAGACATATTTCCAGTTGGTATATGAACTGCTCTATTTGTTGTTACTGAATCATGTTTAACTAATTCTAATATAAAATAATCATCATACATAGCATCAATATTTGTTTGTTCTAATGCAATTAGTAAACGAAATAAATATAATGATTGAATTTTATTTGTATTTGTAATGTTAGTTGATTGATCTAAATCAACTAATTGTGATATACTACCAAGCATTTGTAATATAAATGGTATACGATGTAAAATATAAAATTGTCGACAACAATATTCAATTGCTTTTCTTAACATTGGATTTGATTGAGTATGTGAATAAACATGCAAAAACGTTGGCATTATTAAAAGGTACCTTTAAACAAGAATCAAATATATCATACGAGGAAACCACTCGAATCATTAACCTCTGTTTAAGCTCATATGTTATTCATAGATAAGACTTATAGTGTAGGTAAAAACTGTAAGAAGATTCATTTCATTTTACTTTTCTTCTCAAATTATTGCCACTTAACTGAATTTGTATAATCTTTTGTAGGATATTCCGAAATCATCGAAATTTCTAAAACTTTTGGAATTCCCAATATTTCTAAAAATATTTCATTCGTACTGCCTTATATGTATTGAGCTAATCGTAATGTCGGTAATTTCATTTTTCGAAATATTCTGCAGTAGACTACAAATTGAGTAAAGTGACAGTAACTCAAGTAGAAAAGTATAATAGAACGAACCTTTTACGGGTTTTATCTACATTAGGACTGCTACGTATGAGCAGAACACGAGCTCATACAAATGCTATCAGTTAGGGAGGTTTCCTTGTTAGAAAAAAGAAAAGAAAAAAAAAGTCGTTCTCTATTTACCCATTCGTGGCAAATATATGTCGAAAATGTTTAACGATATTTATATAAGTTGCAAGACAAAAACGTAGCATAGTTAAGTCTTCACAATGTAATATAAATGAACCATTGATTACGGAAAGAAATAGAATTATATCCGATGTTGTAGTGGTTTTACCATCCATATTAAAAAATATACATGCAATTAATTTGATCCTTAAAAATAAAATGAATTATTATGACAAATAAAACTTGTATTAGAANCGTTGGACTTAAGATCCAATTCACAATAGTGAGCATGGGTTCGATCCCCATCCCTGGCAATATTTTTTCCTCTTAATTCTTCCGGTTTTCTTTATTGAGAAGACGTCAGAAAATTGAACGCTCTCAGAATATGCCGTGCCAAGGTGGTCGAGTGGTTAAGGCGTTGGACTTAAGATCCAATTCACAATAGTGAGCATGGGTTCGATCCCCATCCCTGGCAAGATTTTTTCCTCTTAATTCTTCCGCTTTTCTTTATTGAGAAGACGTCAGAAAATTGAACGCGCTCAGAATGTGCCGTGCCAAGGTGGCCGAGTGGTTTAGGCGTTGGACTTAAGATCCAATTCACAATAGTGAGCATGGGTTCGATCCCCATCCCTGGCAATATTTTTCCGGTTCATTCTTTTGCTTTTCTTTTTTTGACCAGATCTCAGAAAAGTGAAAGAGCTCTGGGCATGTCATGCGAGGGTGGCCGGATGGTCAAGGCGTTGAACTCAACATCCAATTCATGAGAGTGAGCATCGGGTTGGTTCCCATTGTCCGTAGATTTTTTACTCTTGATTGAGAGTATCGTTATTTTCAATTCGTTTGCTTCCAATTGTGTCGAAGATCTCAACAGAACAGGAGTTTTGAAGATGTTGTGCCAGGGTGGCGAGTGGTTAAGGCGTTGGACTTAAGATCCAATTCACAATAGTGAGCAAGGGTTCGATCCCCATCCCTGGCAATATTTTTTCCTCTTAATTCTTCCGCTTTTCTTTATTGAGAAGACGTCAGACAATTGAACGCTCTCAGAATATGCCGTGCCAGGGTGGCCGACTGGTTAAGGCGTTGGACTTAAGATCCAATTCACAATAGTGAGCATGGGTTCGATCCCCATCCCTGGCAATATTTTTTCCTCTTAATTCTGCCGGTTTTCTTTATTGAGAAGACGTCAGAAAATTGAACGCTCTCAGAATATGCCGTGCCAAGGTGGTCGAGTGGTTAAGGCGTTGGACTTAAGATCCAATTCACAATAGTGAGCATGGGTTCGATCCCCATCCCTGGCAATATTTTTTCCTCTTAAGTCTTCCGCTTGTCTTTATTGAGAAGACGTCAGAAAATTGAACGCTCTCAGAATATGCCGTGCCAGGGTGGCCGAGTGGTTAAGGCGTTGGACTTAAGATCCAATTCACAATAGTGAGCATGGGTTCGATCCC